GCTAATGTTATGCAGCTTGTTACTGTGTGTACTTGGGATAATGTGTTACCATACAGTGCCTCATTTCTGAGTACACTATGAGCTGAGTCCATATTATTAAAAAAAACTTCCTTAGCTCGTTGTCACATGCATCAATTTGGCAATAAGAGTGGTCGGCTCTTAGCTCGATTGATTAGGTTTCAACAGTCCCGCATGTATGTTTCATGCTCATCTCAGGGTATCTGACTGCTTTATATCTTTGGGTGTCTCATTAACTCTTAAAGTTTGGGACCATTTACTTTGAACCTTTCCACTTTCCCCTTACATGGGCCTTTAATTCCACTTACAGGTAACCCAGAGGTAAACCTCCCCCCCGGGATTAACTTCAGCCCTTGATTCTTTTAAATTCACACTTTTTTTCTCATTAGTTAAAATTTTAGGTCCATATGATTTGAAACCTTTGACAAATCTGACAGATCTTCAACTGGGCATCTGGGCAGGTGATTATAACATTTCCAAAGTCTGGATTTTTCTAGGTCTATGAAAACATGTGGTAACCTTCATTGTCCTCTTTGTGTATATATGTAGGTAAGCTACTCCTTCTGTGCATACTGTGTCTCTTTTATATGATCTGCTCTTAAAAGAGATTTATCCTACTAAGCCCTTTTATTTTGTTGACTGGGAAAGGGAGCTCAGTGTTATCTTTACGGAGGAAGTCCAAAAATCATACCAATAAACTTTCTATAGCGAGTGTGGCACAGGAAAGAAATGTTAACATTATCACAAGATGCTATCGCTGCCCATCGCTTTTACATAAAATACTGTATTTCTAACTGTATCTGATCGTTGTTGGCATTGATTCAGGGAGGCACTATGCAACATACTATATATGGTGGGACTGTCCTATTAAAAGCCCATTTTAAAACAAGGTTTTTAAATTTTGTAATTCTTTTACCTCAGACAGTTTCTCAGACCCTTCAAATAGCATTGTGATCAATGTTTTCCAAATCTGTTTCTAGAGTCAAGAAAGGAATTTTTACCGGTATTTTTTTTTTTGTAGTGGTTTCAAGGGCAGTTATATCTCAAATACCACTTTCCATGATAGAATGGATGTCTGAGTTGAATAATCTTATGAGAATGGAAGAACTATCAGCACAACTACATGATCGACATCCCTATTTTAAGAAAATCTGGTCTCCCTGGATATGCTGTATTTCATTTATCAAAGTGTACATTCTTCAACTTTTATGACATAGAAATGTATCTAAATATAGATCCTGGTCTCTGATATATCCCATGGTTATTTATTGATTCATTTAATTTTTTGTAAAAGTACAGACTCCTCACCAATCCTACTTTAGAAGGAAGAGGGAAAGGGGAAAATATTGCTCCCCATCTTTTTTCTTTTCTTCTTATTCTTTTTTTTCCTCTCTTTTTCTTTTTGTATGTACTTATTTATTTTTGAAATTTTGGTTGGGAATTTGATGCACCTTAGTGGGTATACCTTTTTTGGCTTATGAAATAAACTTTATTGGCTATTGATTTTTTTTAAATTTCTCTTTTAGTCTTCTTATATAAAGAATATTCTATTACTGCTTGGCATATCATGGCCCAAATGGGGGTATTTTATTCTTTTTATATTTTATAAAGAACCTGTTATAGTTATTATGTGTTGAATTCTATCTGGTACACTTTTGAGACCTGCACCAGATTAGTATTGTTATACGAGCAGCAGGAAGAGATATTCCCCTCCCACCCTGCTGCCTATATGACTTGTGATTTATTTTTTGTACTGGTTCTCTCACTCTAGTAATGTCTTTGTAATTATTAATATAATCTAATAAAAATGTATTGTAAAAAAAAAAACCTTCCTGGACTAAGTCTCTCTATTTTCTCCCTAAATCCCAAAATTATGCTAAAAATGTATTGTCTAATAAATGGGGCAGAACCATTTGATGTTCTTTTCCTGTGCTTTTGGTGGTTATCAATGATGAAACTTTATCATGTAACTTTATATAGCTAGTTTATTTGACTGACTGAATAAAGATCAAATAAAAAGAACATAAATAAAGGAAAATCTTCCCTGCTAGTGATGATCTTCGTCTCTGCTATAGACACATTATGCCATTGTTGAGGTGCATGCCGTACAATACAGAGAAATCATTGCTACAGTCTAATTAATATACAGAATGAGTTTGAAATCCAGTTTAGCTCATGATCATCATCTATATGTATAATACTTTATGGGTTTTTTCTCTTGTTCTCATTTCTTTTTTGAGATTACAATAAAAATCAACGACAATGCTTACTGTACTCATGGTTTTAGATTAACTCATTGCTTATTTAACTGAAATTCATTCTACATAATTTATGCGACTTATTGTTCCTTAGAATGTTCCACATAAAAGATTTGCCTCTATTATATGTTGTAAAGAAAATAAGTACATTTTTATGCCTTTCAGTACTATAGGTTTGAAATGTGTGATTAAAAAAAGGAAATTGACACTGAAGGAATTTGTGTCTTATGAAAACAGTGAGCAAACTAGCATAGGAAACAAGCTGTTGAAGGTGTTAGGGACATTGTGAACAGGGAATGGCAAGCAAAATACAGACTTGAAAATGGACTATTTAAATAACATACTAAAATAATTGTGAAGAAAGATCTAAGCCTTATGAGTATAACATTCCTTCATAGGATTTTTGCACATGGAAAACAATGTTCCAATATATCAATTAAAAAAAGAATCTGCTTTGCATAGGTTTCACTTATTTCCCCCAATATTGAGAGCATTTTCTGAGATGTAAAATGTGACATTTATCAAAAAAGTTGTTTTTTTTTTAGTAACTTGGTGGGAAACAACTCAAGGTCAGGAAAAATGCATTAACACAACATTTTATTATAGGATGTTGGGATTCTGTGAAAATGGATATTCTCATTCAGTATGCATTATTTCCACATTATTAACAAATAAGCACTCATAAATATACACTTTAATATCACAAAAATGCTTTTTTTATTACTTGGGTATGACTAGGTATGAGAAAAAAAAAGTTTAGTAGCAGGAAACCTGTCAACCAGCCAATTACCCTTAAAGTTATCTCCAGATATGTTGTGATTATATATTGTAGCACAACCTTACCCCTAAGGTGCTTATTAGGAAACCAGGTATCACTGTGCGCTAGCATTTCAAACCTTAAGATGGAATCTTTGTTGAGTAAGAAGATTTTAAAAAATACCATTCAGCGGGCACCAGCTTATTTTTAATAAGGCTCAAAGTCAAACATCAAAAATATTAAATTCTTTAAATAACATGCTTGGGAGCTGTCCTAAATCTGCCTGTGAAATAGTGCACATGTAAGATGTACACCAGCAAAAGTGATTTTTTAAAAAGAAAATAGAAAAACATTTGCCACTAAATTACATTTTCCTGATGACTTTCTACTTTTTTTTAAAAAAAAAATTACCTTTCCCCAAAATCCATATTGATCTTTAAACAAAGAAGCCACCAAAGTGCTAAATCAGTAATTGTAGCAATGATTAAGTTGAGATGAAGCAAATTACATGACAGTCTGCGATTAACAACTTGGGCATACAAGATAGATATTTAGAAACAAAGACCCTTATCCTGAATAAGGGTTTGGTATAGTTTTTCAAGGAGAAAACCCATACAAAAAAAAAAAAAACAGTGTGGGTTCAGTCCCAAAATCAATACGGGCCCCTATCCTTAATAGGGTCTGGTATGGATTTGAAAGAAAACCTCACTCAAAAGAAGAAAAAAAAAACTGTGTAAAGCATTTCTCAAAATCCAAGTTAGTTTCATATCTGAACATGCAGCCTTGCTGGACAGAAGAAGAAGGTGGTCAGTGAGCATGCGTGCGCCCCCCTTCATGAACCATAGCAGTTCACATGCCCTCAACATTAGAAGTGTACTTTGCCAGAGGCCTTCCCTGGGAAAGCACCTTGTCCCAATGGGGGATGAGTTCCTGGTCCCTTGTCCAAAGGATGTATGGGTGCCTGTGGGACTCTGGAATCTAGAAGCTTCCTTTAAGGACATATTAGGTCTATTACATCAGCCAGCATCCCTGGTGTAAACTGATGATGGCTGGGGAATCCCCCATCCAGTAGCTTAATGGGGCCTGGAATGCAACTTTCTGCAAAAACCAGAAGTTTGCTTCGGGGGATGGATGAACAGGCAATTTATTTCACCTTTACAGCTAATGATAAAAACTGTGTCACCACAAACTCACGCCTCCTTCCTATTGAGACAACTTTTTACCTAGCTCTCCATGACACACTTCAGCATTGACAAGAAAAAGCACAAGGGGGCACCTCTAAGTGCAGCATTTAAAACACTTTATGGAAAACATCAGTATTGTACTCACGTATATGTAAATGAATGGTGTGCTTGTAGCATGAAGCAGGCCTCAATGGCGGATCCGCAAGTCCATCGGTGGCAATGTGGGAGATGGAAGCCGGGTCGGAGTGGTAACAGACCACGGTAAACCACCGCTGTGGGAAATTCTGACAGACGTGGGGCCGGAAGTGATGCCGGAAACAACGTGGAACGCACGACCGGATGTGACGTCAGGAGAAGGAGGATCCGGGACCTGAGTTGCCTAGGTGATGTGTTTCGAAGCACCAATCAGCTCCTTTGTCAAACCTAATTGGCAGAGGAGGCTGTATTCTATTTTATTGGTATAGGGGCCAATATAGGCGTGGTCATGGAATGCTCCCAAATGTCATTAACAATCCAAAAGCCAATCTTTCTCCAGACCAAGCCCATATTAAAGCAATATACAGGAAAAAACATCCACACCTGAACAACGACCCATAGATTAACCACTTGCCGACTGCAGATAGGAGATTGATGGCTACACTGCGGCTGGCCAGTTCTGGGATGACGTCATATGATGTCCTCCCAGAACGCACCCTCCAGCATGACGCCGGGGGCACGCACGCAAAACGATCTCCATGATCACTGTGTCCTATGGACACAGCTGATCACGTGATGTGGTAAAAGGCCAATCACAGTGGCCTTTTACCACGTGATCAGCCATGTCCAATGACACAGCAGATCACCGGTAAATGCAGTTGCCGGTTATCGGCTGCACTCTCCTCACGCTGTCACAGCGTAAGGAAAGTACTGCCGATAATCTGCAATTGTGAGAGGACGGATCGGCACCGATCATCAGCGCAGTGATGATCAGTGCCCAGCAGTGCCACCACCAGTGCCGCCCATCTGTTCCCAGCAGTGCCTCCTACAAGTGCCCAGCAGTGCCACCCACCTGTGCCCATCAGTGCCTCCCACCTTTGCCCAGCAGTACCACCCACCTGTGCCCAGCAGTGCCGACCACCAGTGCCCATCAGTGCCGCCCATCAGTACTGCCCAGCAGTGCCACCCATCAGTGCCCAGCAGTGCTGCCAGTCAGTGCCACCCAGCAGTGCTGCCTATCAGTGCCCATCAGTGCTGCCTATCAGTGCCCATCATTGTTGCATATCAGTGCAACCTCATCAACGCACATCAGTGAAGAAAAAAGATTACCTGTTTGCAAAATTTTATTATAGAAACAAAGAAAAACTTTTTTTTTCAACATTTTTGCTCTTTTTTTGTTTATAGCACAAAAAAATAAAACACCCAGCGGCGAGTACATACCACTACAAAAAAATCTCTATTCTTGTGGAAACAATTATACAAATTTCATATGGGTACAATGTTGCATGACAGCGCAACTGTCATTCAACATGCGACAGCACTGAAAGCCGTAAATATTGGCCTGGCCAGGAAAGGGGTATAAGTGCCCGGTAGGCAAGTGGTTAATATAATAATAAAACATAATTATACATTATTTGCTTTACATAGCAATAGTCACGTGAAGCCTTAACAGATATACAATGATGAAAATTGTAATTTTAAAAAACAGCACAAGAAAGGTATCTGTTTTCAATAATTACTAAAGAGTACTATTAATGGCAAATAATAAAAAAAAGGGGGTAAAAAAGGTATATATTTATATTTTGGATACATTGGCCCCCAGGGGCTGAAATGAGGAGATAGATATTAGTATCTTTATATAAATAACAATATCTACTATGGAAATCAGTGCCATTATATGAATGATGATATTTCCCATGGATAATAGGCATCAGGATAGTATTTTATATATACCTTTTTTTACCTGCTTTTTTTATTATTTGCCATTAATAGTACTCTTTAGTAATTATTGACATTAAATACCCTTCTTATGCTGTTTTTTTAATAATAATTTTCATCATTTTATGTCTATTAAGGCTTCACATGACTATTGCTATGTAAAGCAAATATTGTGCAATTCTGTTTTATTAGTATATTAATGTGTGGACCATTGTTCAGGTGCAGATGTTTTCCATGAATATTGCTTTAACATGGGCTGGGTCTAGGGAAGGGTGCGTATCTGGATTGGTAATGATGTTCGGGAGCGTCCCATGGCCACGCCTATACCGTCTTCTGTACCGATAAATTAGAATACAGCCTCCTCTGCCAATTAGGTTTGAGAAAGGAGCTGACTGGTGCTCTGAAACATGTCACCTAGGCAACTCAGGTCCTGGATCCTCCTTCTCCTGACATCATGTCTGGTCGTGCCTTCCACAGTGGTTTTGGCAACACTTCCAGTCCCGTGTCTGTCAGGATTTCCTTCAGCAGTGGTTTACCGTGGGCTGTTACCACTCCGGCCCTCCTTCCCGCTCCTACACTGCCACCGATGGACTTGTGGATCTGCCATTGAGGCCTGCTTCATGCTACAAGTGCACTATTAATTTACATACCGGAGTGCGACACTGATGTTTTTAATAAAAAATGCTGCACTTAGAGGTGCTCCCTTGTGCTTTTTCTTGTTAATACAGAAGGGATCCATTCCAGCTTCTTGGTGGAGCTGCCTATTTGGTGCACTATTATTTTATGGACTATTTTAGAAGTTTGGACTTTATGGACTCCAGCTAGGCAAACTATTTCTTCCAGACCCAGGCCATTTTTCAACAAAGATTCTCCCCAGCCAATAGGCCTTTTCAGCAAATACTTCCAACACTGCCTCCTTAACTGGCAACAGCCCAGGAGGCAAAGGCCTTTCTGAAATGTCACCCCAAATATTTACATCCCTGCCCAGCATACAACCCTGGCAATAAACCTTTTAGTGTTTGGCCAATAAGACATACAGTTGCAAGAAAAAGTATGTGAACCCCTTGGGATTACGTGGAGTTTTGCATGAATTGGGCATAAAATGTGCTCTGAACGTCATCTAAGTCACAACAATAGAAGAACACAGTCTGCTGAACATAATACTACACAAACATTAGATGTTGCCATGGTTTAATTGCACATAACATGTAAACATTCACAGTGCAGGGAGGAAAAGTATGTGAACCTTTGGACTTAATAACTGGTTGACCCTCCTTTGGCAGCAATAACCTCAACCAAACGTTTCCTGTAGTTGCAGATCAGACCTGCACAATGATCTGGAGTAATTTTGGACCACTCCTCTTCACAAAACTGTTTCAGTGTAGCAATATTCTTGGGATGTCTGGTGTGAATCGCTCTCTTAAGGTCATGCCACAGCATTTCAATCGGGTTGAGGTCAGGACTCTGACTGGGCCACTCCAGAAGGCGTATTCTGTGCTGTTGCAGCCATTGTTTTGTTGAATTACTTGTATGCTTTGGGTCATTGTCCTGTTGTATCACCCATCCTCTGCGGAGCTTCAGTTGATGGACAGATGGTCGTACGTTTTCCTGCAAAATGTCTTGATAAACTCTGGAATTCATTTTCCCATCAATGACAACAATTCGTCCAGGCCCTGAGCCAGCAGAGCAGTCCCAAACCATGATGCTCCCTCCGCCATGTTTTACAGTGGGGATGAGGTTTTGATGTTGTTGTGCTGTGCCTTTTTTTCTCCACACATAGTGTTGTGTGTTCTTCCCAAACAACTCAATCTTGGTTTCATCTGTCCACAGTATATTTTGCCAGTAGTGCTGTGGAACATCCAGGTGCTCTTTTGCAAACTTCAAACGTGCTGCAATATTCTTTTTGGACAGCAATGGCTTCCTCCGTGGTGTCTTCCCATGTACTCCATTCTTGTTTAATGTTTTCCTTATTGTAGATGTGTCAACAAAAATGTTAGCATGTGCCAGAGATTTCTGTAGGTCTTTAGCTGACACTCTGGGATTCTTCTTTACCTCATGCAGCATTCTGCGCTGTGCTCTTGCAGTCATTTTTACTGGACGACCATGCCTAGGGAGAGTAGCAACAGTGCTAAACTTTCTCCATTTGTAGACAGTCTGTCTTACCGTGGACACATGAACATCAAGGCTTTTGGAAATACTTTTGTAACCCTTTCCAGCTTCATGCAAGTCAACAATTCTTGATCGTAGGTCTTCTGAGAGCTCTTTTCTGCGAGGCATGGTTCACATCAGACAGTGCTTCTTGAAACCAGTAAACCCAAAACAGGTGTGTGTTTTTTAAGGGCAGGACAGCTCTCAGCAACACATCCAATATCATCACACTGATTGGAGTCAAGTTTGGCTCACTCCTGGCTTCAATTAGCTCTGGGAGAAGTCATTAAGCTAGGTCCTCACATACTTTTTCCTCCCTGCACTGTGAATGTTTACATGTTATGTGCAATTAAACCATGGCAACATCTAATGTTTGTGTAGTATTATGTTCAGCAGACTGTGTTCTTCTATTGTTGTGACTTAGATGACGTTCAGAGCACATTTTATGCCCAATTCATGCAAAACTCCACGTAATCCCAAGGAGTTCACATACTTTTTCTTGCAACTGTAAATATTCATAATTCAAACAATATTTATTCCTATTACAATAGCTGCTGAGAAACACTGCAATGGCATTACACAATACTTTGAGCTTAAGGAAAACTCAAGAAAAGCACTATGACAGCCTGGAATTCAGGCTCTCTTGCACACTGCCCATGTAGGGCAAATGAACATGTTTGCTTGATAGCCTGCCCCGCAATGTGAAACTTGCCTTTCCTGTGCTCCCCTGCTGATCTGTTTTCTCCCCAGAGTCCCATGATATACTCCATTCTTCAGGGTATAAGGAAGCATAAGAGACTCTCATCCTGGTGCTGAGTGCTGTTGCATGCACCCAGGACTTTTTTCTTAGGACTCCAGTGGGCATGGGGTGACATAGGCACACTACTTAAGCACTAAGAGTATCTGCCAAGAACGTGCAAAGTAAAAGTCTTCTTAACCATTATAAATAATAACACCTAGATTAATTAGGTATTCCTCCAATATGTTTTGATTATTGTATTGGTATTTCTTGATGACCTATTTCACTAAGTCTGCTCAATTGACTCTCTTTATTGCTCAGTTGAACTTAGTTAATTGTTTCTATAATTAATGAATTGATTTGTCGATTGTTTTTCTGATTACTCTTTATTTTAGTGTTTATAGCAATAATTTATTTATTACTCTATAAATCCTAGTCGTCTTGGGTTGTCAGCTCCTTTAAAAGAACACTTTCCCATATACAGCCTGCATTATTGCTGTTTTCCCATTTATTAATTATTCGAGCTACAGTCACAATTTGGTAATGTCAGAGTAAAGAAATGAAACGGAAGAAGTTTGCTAATTTACTGAATTGCTGAGAAAAACACGCACAGCCCATAGTTTTCATCTCACATCTGCATTTCTGATTTCAATTTTGAGTGATAAATTAGTGGAAATTTTAGCATTGTTAGGTTAAGTTTGAATGCCAAAAAAAATATAACAATGTTTATGAAGAAACTCTTAAAAATAGATTCAGTTTTAAATTTTCATTTTTCTACTGATATTTTTCAGTGTGTTAAATTCAAGTGTGAACTCCTCTGCATAAATACACATTTTCCTACACTACCACAGTAAATAAATCATGTATCAACACAGGCCATATTTTTAAAGATCTCTGCAAGGATGGTTGGACTTTAGATATTTTCCGGTCCAGTATATTATACTGCAATTTAATCTAAATACCATTTGCAATTTTAAAGCAGTATATGTGGCATTCACCAAACCTTCACTGCACTTACAGTATATCTTCCTGGTGCATGTGTTCTAAATTACAGTGATTAATTCACTGAAGTGAGTATTTGGTGAATGTCACATTTACTGCTTCATAAATATTCCCCTATGACTTGGAAAATTTAATTTTAATTGAGATCTTTGCACAGTAGTCTTTTAAGATGTTCAAATTACCATAGACAGTTCCACATTTTGCATAGACATAACTGCCAAATATAATTACATATAATTAAGAACAAAATAGACTTTTAAAACGGAAGGTATCTACATGTCTTACTTCCAAAACCACCACAATCCCCTCACAGAAGAAATCACTCACACTGCTCATGTAGCACATATCTAATTTATTAAATAAAGCAATATAAGAAAACAAATAACACCCTAACCTCTAAAACCAATTAAAAATCCCATATAACCCATACAGGAGCCCTTGGAAATGTAAATACCAGTTGAAATTGGTGTAGAA